ATGTCTGTTGGAAAGCAACTAAGTTCAAAGAGCACCCAAACAGTCTTCCTCCTCTTCCTTCCTCTTCCTCCTCCCCGCCCTTCTAGCACTGATAATGTTACCTAGTTTTTCTTCTTCAACTGTTTGCAGTGTGATGTCTGGTGTTTAGTATATAATTTATTATATAATTTAATAATAATAATAATAATAATAATAACAACAACAACAACAACAACAACAACGTGGTCCTTGATACTCTCTTGGTTGTTTCCTTGCAGATGTTTCATTACCAAACTAGGTAACATTATCAGTGCTAGAAGGGCGGGGAGGAGGAAGAGGAAGGAAGAGGAGGAAGACTGTTGGGGTGCTCTTTGAACTTAGTTGCTTTCCAACAGACATTTCATTACCCAACTAGGTAACTTCATCAGGGCTAAAAGGGAGTGGGCTTTATGGAGAGGAGGAGGAGGAGGAGGAGAAGGAGGAGGAGGAGGATATTGAGGTTTTGAGCTTAACTGTTTTCTTGCAGACATTTCATTACCAAACTAGGGAACCTCATCAGTTGTAGAAGGGAATGGGGTTTATGGGGAGAAGGAGGAGACTCAGATCTTCATCACAGTTCAGTGACAAGAAAAAAAATCAATACATACCTTGGACCTTTAACTGGGTCTGGCCTCGATAGCATTTCATTTGGTCTTTAGTTCTCCTCCCTTCTTTGCCGGAGTTTTGGTCTAAATACACTTCGGAATAAACAGAGTAGGTTCCAGAATGAGCCAGGGTTAACTGAGTCATATGAAAGGAACAATCTTTTGGGGTGACCTGGGGTTGCTGGTTCTTCTGTTTGTCGGGCTCTTCTTCAGAATCCTCGAATTTTTTTATTCCATTTTGGGTTTTTTGCTCCCATTCACAGTAGTCACGACGGTCTGGCAAGCCTACGGGAGTCATCTTGACATTCTGGCCAACGCGGGGATTTTGGGGTTCGACGTTGATACGGATTTGTTCTGCAAATCAAGTGGATTAAAAGAACACCCCGTTATCTCAGGATGGAGCTAGGAAAAGGGACACAAGACGTTTGTTTCTGACCCTGGCGAAGGGTATCCTTGTCAAGGTTAACCTTTCGATCTACCCTTCATAAGAAACTCTGGTGGCGCAGTGGTTGGAATGCAGTATTGCAGGCTAATTCTGCCGACTGCTAGCAGTTCGATGCTGACCGGCTCAAGGTTGACTCAGCTTTCCGAGGTGGGTAAAATGAGGACCCAGATTGTTGGGGGCAAGATGCTGACTCTATAAACCACTTAGAGAGGGCTGTAAAGCACTGTGAAGCGGTGTATAAGTGCTAGCACCCTTCCTTCCTTCCTTCCTTCCTTCCTTCCTTCCTTCCTTCCTTCCTTCCTTCC